GATCCTCCACCAAGGTCCATCCAGCTAGAGGTGTACCCTAGGTTAGGCCGTGTCGAATTGAGGAGAGACTCAAGCTCAAGCCTCAAGGTCCAAACCGTCTCAGAGCCACACCCCTTGGCCATCTGAGTGGTGGTGGTGGGGGAATGGGGAGGGGGGGGGGGGGTGAGGGGGGGCTGAGGATACACCAGAGTTCCCTGGTTCCTCTAGCCTTCTTCAGCTTTTTCTACCATGCATAGGCAGTCCCCTCACAGATCTCGCAAGGGAAAATCTTTTTGGTAACTCTAGAAGACTTAAACTAGCCCCAAAGGGCAAAACACAAATTACCCTGAAACAGGCAATCTTTTCCTGAGAAGAACATGTCCTCCCAAACCACGTGCCCAGAGAAAGAGAGCCTTGATGTGTAGCTAACTGTTAAACCAATTCTGGTCCTAAGAGCCTTCCTTACTGTAAGGTGGGGACACCCAGAGCTACACTTCAACTGCAGGCATCACCACCTTCCTGCAAAGACCAGTGCAGGCCCTGGTTTGCAGCAAGGCAATCTTACAGCTGAATGCGCGCTGTTTCTTTCCCCTTCTCGCCCATACTCCAACAGTAACAAGAGCACAAGGAAGATGTTCCCAAGTCTCAACATAAGCATGAGTTCATCCAGTTCTCCTACCAACCCTGAATAGACAAGACCACTATTATCAACCCTACTAATAGAGAAACTGAGACTAATATGAGGGCTGGGGGTGGCTGTCAGTTCCCAAGCCTGTTCTAGGAATAACTGGGCAATGTGATTTCCAAAACCCTTCCAGTTCTAAACTGTATAAATTCTCCAATTTGGTTCTTTTGAAATTACGAAGCTAGCGGTGAGTGTTGGTTTAAGAACCTGAGATGAACCACTTGGTGACAGCTAACTCTGCTAAAACCTGTCAGCTCTCCCATTCCACTATTCTAGCAGCGCTCAAGGGTACAGACAGCCCAGTGCTGAGTTCTTATTCAGATCACACAGTAGACTCCCTGTCCTAGAGGAAGAGGACCACGTGGTTATCCTGCACAGAGGTCCCACCCTGTCACTACCCCGCCCAAGGGCGTGATTTGCTCTACACTTCCCATTCCCCAGGCTTAGGGAACTCTGGCCTGGAATGCAGGAAGCCCAGCACCTTTGAGCGGGAGGTGTACTCGGCTCAGCAGGAGGTGTACTCGGCTCAGCAGGAGGTGTACTCGGCGGCAGGAGGTGTACTCGGCTCGGCAGGAGGTGTACTCGGCTCGGCAGGAGGTGTACTCGGCTCGGCAGGAGGTGTACTCGGCGCAGAGTGCTTGTAGAGCGCACCCTGAAGCCCTGGGTCTGACCCTAGTCAGGGGCAACTTGATGACCAAAGACTTGGGCAGAAACTTTTAGCTTTCATGGCTACCGGCAGCTTCTCTGTGACCCTAAGGGATGCCCACAGGGACTTTATTTTTTATTATTTATTTGGTTTTTCCAGAGTTTCTCTGTGTAACCCTGGCTTTTTTGGAACTCACTGTTGTAGACTAGGCTGGCCTCAAACTCAGATTCACCTGCCTCTGCCTCTCAAGTGTTGGGATCAAAGGCATGTGCCACCACTGCCCGGCTGAAAATTTTTTTTTTTTTAAATAGGCTTTTCAGGGCTGGAGAAATGGCTCAGCGGTTAAGAGCACTGACTGCTCTTCCAGAGGACCCGGGTTCAATGCCCAGCACCCACATGGCAGCTCACAACTGTCTGAAAATCCAGTTCCAGGGCATCTGACACCTTCACACCTATGCACATAAAATAAAGATAAATAAGTCATAAATTAAAAAAAAAGAAAAAGAAAAAAAATAGGCTTTTCACAGTTTTCCCTTCCCCAATTCTTCCCAGATTTTCCCGATGCCCCCCACCCCCAGGATTCTTGTTTGGGATGATTTGTTTTGTTTTACCCTCTTCTTTAGATTTACTTGTTTTTGTTTTACACACACACACACACACACACACACACACACACACACACACAGGGGCTCACGATAGTCAGGCTGGCAGTAGATTCACAGGACTGCTGAGGCTAGCCTTGACTTCACGATTGGCCTGCCTCTACCTGAGGAGTACTAGGTGCATCACTTAGGCGGTGATATTTGCCAGCACACACCCAGCTTTGGTAGTTGTGAGGAAATAAGCACATCATGTCTGTACCCCTGAAACTGACAACACAGGCAAAGGCACACACTGAATGTTTGGGGCAGTTGGTGTCTGGGGCAGCCACTCTAAGGCTTTTGTGGCCAAAGTCTGTGCAACGGCCTGTGTGTAAAGAAAGACTAGACAGGTCCAGCCCCTGAAAGAGTGCTGGAGGGGGAGGGAGAGAAGGGAAGAGCCTCTTTTTTTTCTGTGTTCCTGCCCCGTGGGGTGACACTTAACCACCTCCAGGGCTGCAGCTGGGATACAAGAACCGTCACTCGGAACTAGACTTCTTCCCCTCCCCCACTGGAACCAGCATCCAGCAGAGCCCGGAGCTGCCCTGGGGGAAGGGGCTGCCTGCCAAGGATCTGCCCACCTGGGGCCAGGGCCAGGGCCAGGTCAGACTCTGCAGTCTGTGCAGAGCTTGAAACAAAGTGGGCAAAAGGGTGTCCTTGAGTCAACAGACCTCATTTCTTACTCTGCTCATCAAGAAACAACAGGAAATAAAGGAAGAAAATCAAAGAATCATAAACTGTTTACAAGAATAGCCACTTTCCCAATTTTTATTTACAGGTGTGTCTACACCACAGGGCCAGTCCAACAGGAAGACCAGTTTGCTTGTTCACTGGATCACATCTAATGGATCCATTTGTTTAGTCATTAAGCATTTGTTAAGCACCTGCCCTAGGAAACAGAAAGGGCCCAGCTTGGAGGGAGAAGGGGAACCAGCCATTTTAAGTAAACAAGAAGACTTCAGACTGAGCAGTAGGCTTTGAAGGAAGTAACTGGGAGAGGACAGAAAGTACCTGGCTGGGGGCAGGGAGAGGACCTGCTTCAGATACGGCTGACACCCGAGCTGAGCTACCTGAGAAGTCTGAAGAAATACTGCTCCAGACAGGCCGGGAAGCAATGAGTGCAAAGCTCCAGAGATGGGAACTGCCCAGTGAAAGTTGTTCAGTGAGCCTAGAGGGCGGTGAGCCACAGCCAGGCTTCTACATAGCAGAGCCTCCCTGGGCCAGGGTCTGGGGCTACGAGGACCCTGCAGGTCAGCCTAAAAGACTGTTGGAAAGGCCACTTCTGTCATTAGGAACGAATTAATCAGCCGGATAGAGCCATACCTGGATGCACACAAGAGCTCCTACTTCAGTAATTTTAAGAAAGTTACTAGTATCTTCCTCCCTACTCTTCTCTCCTTGTGTGTGGGGGAGTGGTCAGGGTCTCTTGTAGCCCCAGCTGGCCTTAAACTCCTGCTCTTATTTTTCAGCCTCCCTAGAACTGGGATTACAGGTGCGCGCCACCACACACAGCAGCAGTTTTGTTTTTGAGCTGGTTTTAAATAGCTCACACTAACCTTGAACTCCTCCTGTCCCCAGGGATTATAGGCACTACCCACAACCCCTGGAAGCCAGGATCTCAATACATAGCCCTGGTCTGGAATCTGTAATCCCCCTCTGACTCAGCAGCATCTCAATGGCTAGGAGGTTTTTGAAATAAGGTTTCTCTTGGAGGTCTAATACACGTACACAGTTTTATCAGTTTATCTTTACCCTCAAAACCGATTTAAACAGCTGGCTCAATTGTAAAAAGTACACAAGCAAATTTTAAGTCCCAATATTGCATACATAAATTTGTCTGTTTACCAAGAAAAGCAACCTGTATTTCTGAAGAAATATGATCATTGCAGTCTCATTTGGCACTTTAGGAACTAAGTCCTGGGGCCGAAGAGATGGCTCAGAGTTAAGAGCATTGGCTGTTCTTCCAGAAGACATGGATTCAATTTCCAGTACCCAAATGGCAGCTTTTGACTGTGTAACTCCAGTGGAATCCGACACCCTCACACAGACGTGCAGGCAAGTACATAAAATAAAGATGAATAAAAAGGAACTAAATCCCAGGGTGGAGAGACGGCTCAGCAGTTAAGTGTTTGCTCCTCCAGTTGTGGTCTGAGTTTAGTTCCCAGCGCCCACAATCAGCAGCTACAAAGAACTGGGCGCCCTCTTCTGGCTTCTGCACTCGTGCACACGCCAGTCAGTTAAAAGGTAGTAAGAAATTACCTCTCTCTCTCTCTCTCTCTCTCTCTCTGTCACACACACACACAACCCCTCCAAACCCAACATACACCACCCAAAGAAAATCACCACCAGTAACACCACCACCACCAAAAATGCTCTTAATCTGTTTAAATGATCTGGGCCATCTAGTTCGTTCCATTTCCCCCTTTAAAAACCAAAACCAATTAAAACATTCATATTGATATTTAAAATTTAATCACTCCCTCTCCCTGGATTCGCTGAGGTTTGTTCCACTCAGTGGAGGCTGGGGAGATGTTGAGAGAATGAAGGCGTGGGGTGACGAAGGAGACTGAGTAGAAAGGGGCGGGGCGGGATCCATCCGCAAGTGGCGATCGCAGCTGCACCCCGAGTTTGGGACCAGGGAACAGGGATCGAGGGCCGGGCTCACAGAACCCTCAGAAAGCAGGACGAGACGCAGGCAAAGGAGGAGGAAAGTCAACCCAAATCGCGAATGCCCGCAGGGAACAAACTACAGCGACCAGCCAGGATCCGCGGCGGGCCTTAGGAGACAGGCTGCCCGGCGCGAGGGGCCAATGGGAGAGCGAGCCAGATGAGGGGTGGGGTGCGAGGCCAACGGGAGGGCGAGCTAGACTGGGGGCGGGGCCTCTGGGGCGAAGCCAATGGTAGGTTGAGCGGCCTGGGAACGCGTGGCCAATGGCGCGGCGAGCTGGGTGGGGGCGTGGCAGCTGGGGTGAAGCCAATGGCATGGAGTGCGGCTTTGGCGAGGCCAATGGCTGGGAGAGTCCAGGAGCGCGAGGGTGGGGGAGGAGCCAGACCCGGAAGGCGGTGGGGGCGGGGAGCGAAGCTGACAACCTGTCAAGTCCACTCCAGGACGAACTAGGTCACGCGCCTCTTGTAGCTCCGGCGCCCCCGCCCCGCGAGGCCCTGCGGGTGGCCCTGGGGCCCAGCCGCTCCGCTTCCTCTTCCTGCCCGCGGTGGTGGGGGCGGGGCGGACACCTGCCGTCCGCAGGCCCGCTTCAACCTCTGGGCTGCTGGAGGCCGCCTAGCTCGCGGGCCCGCGCGCGCCTATCCGCTGGGAGACGGATTCGCGGTCTCCGACGCCGGCCGTGGGCTCGCGGAAGCGCACAGCGCACTACTTGACGCGGAAGGATCCGGGCTTCCGCGGTTACCTGTCCTCCACTCGAATCCGACCTCGGCCGAAGGGCCCGCGACGACGATCGTCCGCCCCACGGAGAAGAGATACTGGTTCAGTCCCGCGCTGCCGACCTCACAATGGCGCGGACACGCAGGCACAGTCACGCAGCGGCCCTTGCGCTTCTTCGCCCATAGCTTATCGGCCGAGGGGACCGCGGCGGGACCCTCCTTCCCACTCGCCTACTCAGATGATGAGAACGTCCCCACACGACACCATGACGCTGTTTTAACAATGCCTAACTCTGTTCTTCCAAACTGCCCACACTTAAAGGTGACATGGCCACAGACGCTGAATTGCTATGCTACGTAGGGATATTGCACTTATTTGAAATGCTTCCTTGCAATACTACAGCGAAGCGACAAATTAAAAACATTTTTGTCCAAACGTAGTACTTTAGCCAATGAATAGTTTGTGCACATTTCTATTCAGTATCTCTAGATTTAAAAAAAATCAAATGTAAAGACGTTACCAAATAAATAGCTTATCGGTAAAATAATTGTTTTTCCTTTAAATTCCAACCTTTATTTAAGTGTTTTTTTAGCCTCTTGACGGGAGTGTAGGAGCACATTATTTGCAATATGTATATATGTAAATTTTGTACATTTGCAATTTTACATTTAAAATAGCCTTTATATAGTTTTCTCTAGGAGCCCTTCTTGAGATTGTTTAATTTCTATACGTCTTAAATTTGGCTAAAAATAGTTTTTAAATTAAAGGTAGAAAATGAGCTTATTCAGTTAGCATCTTTGCATTTGAAGAATGGTCTTCCATATTTATTACTTTGTAACAGTACTGCCAATACAAGGTAGAAATGAAAGTTCAACCTTGTTAAAAATTCAAATCTAACAAGACAGGCCTTTATTATGTGGTTATTATCTTTTTGTTATTACTAATTCTTTACAACCAACTAATTTTCCAGAGGGAATCATTGCTCCTGCCTTTAATCAATTGTGTTAAGAATCTTCTGCCTTTGAGCATAGAAATTTTAATTTTTGTTTATTATTTTTGGGAGGAAGACCTGTGCCACTGTAGGAGTATGAAGGTTAGAGTACAATTTGTGGGAGTCCCCGTTTACCTTTGTGGGTCCTGGGGATTGATCACATTCCCATTCTGTGCCAAGGTCTTACTATGTAGACCATGTTGGCCGAAAACTCAGAGATTCCTCTGCTTCTATATTGGTGGGATTAAAGGTGTACAACACCATTTCTGACCTTAAAAATTATTTTATATGTCTCTGTTTATGACACATGAAGCCAGAAGAGGGGATGGGTTCCCTTGGAGCTGGAATTAACTACACAATGTTGTGAAGCTGCTAGCATGGGTGCGGGGAAGTGAACATGGGTCCTTTGGGAGAGCAGCAAGCACTTTTATCTCAGGAACCAACCATCTCTCTAGTCATACCTCCCTCTTGTTTCTAATTCCCGAGGTTTTGAAGTCTTCTACTGAAGGCTGTATTATTCCATCTCCTTCTTGGAAATGGAACCCAGAACCTTGTCCGTGCTCAGCAGGGTTCCAGTCATTCTTTAATGTCAGTTAATACCATGCCGACTATAAAACCCAGGGGCTTTCCTTCGACAAATAAACCTTGATGTTGCCAATAAGCAAAGTCACCACTGAAAACATGGGTATGAACTGTTGTCATTACATCATGGCCTGGGGTTAGGCTCATAGGTATTACAATAGGAAGTGGCAGTAAAGAAAGTTTAAAACTTAAAGTCCAGTAAAATCATGTCATTACATTAGGATAAATTGTCATCTTTTTGTTGTTGTTGTTTGTTTGTTTGTTTGTTTTTTGAATCAGGGTTTCTTTGTAGTTTTGGAGCCTGTCCTAGAACTAGCTCTTGTGACCAGGCTGGCCTTGAACTCACAGAGATCTGCCTGCCTCTGCCTCCAGAGTCCGGGATTAAAGGTGTGCTCCACCACCGCCAAGCTTGTTTTATCTTTAACAGTAGAAGAATACTATGTTTTTGTTTTTAAAGGCAGGGACTGAGTGGGTATAGTTGCAAATGCCTTTAATCCCAGTGCTTGGGGGCCAGCCTGGTGTACATAGCCAGTTTCAGGCCAGCCAAGAATACATAGTAAGACCTTCTCTCAAACAAACAAAAAAAGAACAAATAAATATAGGGTTTTGTAATATAGCCGAGATGGGCCTAGCACTTGTGGGTCTTACTGCCTCTACTAGAAGCACAGGTGTACACAACATAACCCTAGCAAAAATGTATCTTTCCCTCCCCTTATGTTACGGGGGTTAACCCAGCATCTTGTGAATGTTAGGTAAGCACTCCTGAGCTACATCCCCAGCCATTTTTGTTTTGTTTCTGAGACAAGGTCTCAAAATACTCATTGATGGCATTGAACTCAGCGTGTAGCCCAGGCTGGCCTCAGGTTTTTGGGACGATTCTGGCTGCAAACTTCTGGATAGCTGGGATAATGGTTTCAGCCACCAGACACAGCTTAACTTTTCTTAAATGATTTGATGTGGTGTGGCACTTTAAAATTGCCAATCGCATAAGAAAACAAATTCCTTTCAATCTCTTAAATATGCAGTTAGAAATAGGACCAGGCTGGGCGGCGGTGGCACATACCTTTAATCCCAGCATTCCAGAGTCAGAGGCCAATCTAGTCTACAGAGCTAGCTCCAGGACAGTTAGGGATATTACACAGAGAAACCTTGTCCTGAAATAATAAGGAAGAAGGAAGGAAGGAAAGAAGGAAGGAAGGAAGGAAGGAAGGAAGGAAGGAAGGAAGGAGAAAATAGAGGCCAGCAGGATAGCTTGGTGGGTAAAAATAAGTCTGATAACTTGGGACCCACACTGTAGATGCTGGCCTTGATATATACATGCCTGCATACAGACAAAATATATAAATAAATGTTAAAAAATATATTTTTTACTGTATACCCTTGGGTATGGTGACCCATATCTGTAATCCTAGAATTCAGGAAGTTGAATCAGTCTAGGCTACATGTCTGGTTCTGAGCCAGCTTGAGCTAACATGTAAGCCATGAGCTCTGATTCACATAATCAAAATACACGTAGGAGCTCAAAGATGACTGGTTTCTCACCAGGGAACGTATGCTAAAAACTAAAAGGAAGCCAGGCGGTGGTGGTGCATGCCTTTAATCCCAGCACTTGGGAGGCAGAGGCAGATGGATCGCTGTGAGTTCGAGGCCAGGCTGGTCTACAAGAGCTAGTTCCAGGACAGGCTCCAAAGCCACAGAGAAACCCTGTCTTGAAAAAATAAAAATAAAAATAAAAACACCTAAAAGGAAAGATGACAAAATCAGAACAGTTCCAGGTTTCCAACCGTGTTCCGTGAACATGTCTTTTCGTAAGCCAGAGGGGAGACTAAGATGTGGGGGTGCGGCTCAGTGGGAGAACGCTCACCTCAGTGTGCAAGGAGCCTTGGATCTGCTCTACAGTGTGGCGAAGGGAAAAGAATAGCGTCTACTTCATGAGTGGGTTCTGTGAAGGAAACGAAAAGCTGACGTCACTGCTACAGGTGTTCCTGTCTCCAGATCTCAAAGATGTTTTCCAGTGACCTCCAGGAGACTGGCATCAGGGAACAGATGGCTGGTCTAACCTACTCCTAACACCAGGAAGTAAATCAGCGCGCACGCCACACAGAGACACAGCTGTGATGTCAGCACAGTACTGAAGATGGCTGCCACATCCCACCTTCCCCTGCGGCAGCCCTGGAAGCCTGTCAGCGCCCTGCTTCCTCAGAGGAAGGCTGGGTACTGGATCTAGAGCCTCTGAGAGGGTTGAGACAGGAGTTATACAATATTCCAGGTCCCCTCCCCCGCCCCCTGTCACACACAAACAGGGTTTCTCTCTGTAACAGCCCTGGTTGTCCTGAAACTTGCTTTATAGACCAGGCTGGCCTTGAACTCACAGAGAGCTGCGTGCCTCTGCCTCCCAGGCTATTCTTGAACTATATGCTATACTATGAACTATATGTTATATAGACTCACAGCAATGCTTCTGCGTCAACTTCCCAATTGCTTGGATCATAGCCATGGTGTGTGAGTGTGTGTGTTTGTGTGTATGTGTGTGTGTGAGAGAGAGAGAGACCATGTCCAGCAAACCTGTTTCCACCCTCCCCTTTTACTTCCAATGCCAGGAATTGAATTTTTTTCTTTTTTTTCAACAGGGTCCCATTATATAGCCCCACTGGCCTCAACCACAGCAACCTTCCTGCCTATGCCTCCCTAATTGCTGGGACTAAAGGTATGCACCACGATGCCCAGCTAACGACCTCATTTTAACTAGTTACCTCCTTAAAGATCCCCTACATCCAAATACATTCACTTTCTGAATTCCTGAGGTTAGCCTTGGAATATGTGAATTTAAGGAGAGGGCACAAATTCCTTCACAACTGGAAGTGAGGGGTTAGTAGGCAGGTGGCTTATTAAAGATGTTAAGTGGTTGCCCTTCATAACAAAGCTGGGCTTTAGGCTGCCAGAGAGGAAAGTACCCTAAGAAAGGGAAGGAAGGTTCTAGAGAGCTTAGGTCTCTGGAACTTTTGGCCAATTGGCTCTTTTTAGATACTGTAGGCCTGAAACAGGACAGAAAGACTATTAATGAAACAGAGGACGGGAAGAGGCTTCTCTGGCCTTAGGCTGAAGTCTATCAGAAGCTTAAGAGTCACAGATTCGAGCACAATTAACATTGCTGCAAAGAGAGACAACATTCCTTTTATAAAGAATTATAACAGAGAGACAGTATTCTGTTTATAAAGATTTGGATATGATTGTTTGTGAGGCTGCTGTTTCAAGCGCAGACCAGGCTGGCCTTTAATTCAGAGACCGCCTTCCTTCGCCTCCCAAGTCCTGCCACCATCTCTGGCTTCTACGGGAATGCTATAAATAAGAATGTTAAATGCTGAAGAGATGGCTCAGCCTTTAAGAACACTGACTGCTCTTCTAGAAGACCCAGGTTTAATTCCCAGCACCCACATGGCAGCTCACAACTGTCTCTGTAACTCCAGTTCTAGGGGATCTGACACCCTCACACAGACATACCTGCAAGGCAAAACTTCAATGCATGTAAAATAAAATTTTTTTAAAAAAATGCTAAAATAAGGGGCTTGAGAGATGGCTTGGTAGTTAAGAATATTGCCGCTCTTCCTTCCAGAATTTGGTTCCCCACATCCACAGTAGTTGGCTCACAACTGTCTGTTACTCAATTTACAGGGGAACCCATGTTCTCTTCTAGCCTCCAAGGGCACTCCCCACAACACACACACACACACACACACACACACACACACACGTGACATACAAATACAGACACATACATAAAAACAGATCAAGAAGAAAAAGTTGAAGGTAGCAGTGAACTGTGTTGAAGGGTAGACAAGTAGAGCCTGCAAGTAAAGCCTCCTTCTCTGATATTTTCCAGGAATTCCACAGACGGGACTATCAGCTTCTGCTTACAGTAAAAACACTTCATTGAGCAAATCTGGTGACCTGGGGTGTGACCTTATCAGCAGTGACCCACCCTGTGATCTCATTCAAGGTCCTTAGCAACCCTTTGAGCTGTTCAGAAACCACCCAAATCCAGGGCTCTACCCACTGAGAAGCCTACAGCCACACCTGGGTGTAACCCCGCCCAGGCACCTTGCTTTCTAACCCCTCCAGGGTAAACTTGGATTGAACTCTCCTCTTAGTAAACTCACCCCCCTCTCTGCTTCCCTCTGAAGCTAAGACTAGTCCTGAATCTTTTCTGTAGTGAAGGCCAGAGGCGAGCACTAATACTCAAGGTAAAATGCTGCAGATCCCCGAGAGGCTGCGTGGGCAGCAGGCGAGTGGCAAGCGGGCAGCGGGTTCTGAGATCAGCCGGTCCCAGGCAGGGATGGCATAGCTCTCTGAGTGGCTACAGCAGGGAGCCGCGTGGTGGGTGAGAGACCTCAATGGGGAAGCTAGTTCCACGAGGAGAGACAGACAGCGGGGCATGCCACGAGACGCTGCCGCAGGTTCTCCGAAGGAGGCTGGTCCCGGGCAGGGAGCCCGGCTGGTGAGAGACAGAGACATGGATAGGCATGCCATGTGAGGTTGGATATTTATTTAGTGAGTTATGAAGGGGAAAAGGAAAGGGGCGAGAAGGTGGGGGGAAGGGGAGAAGTGGGGAGAAGGGAGAGACAAGCTGTGGAGGAGAGCTGTTTCCAGTCTTACTTACTGATACTGATGGGTTCAAGCCAGGTGTGGTGGCTCATGCCTGTCCTCGCAGCATGAGGAATGCCTAAGCAGAAGGATAATCTCAACTGTGAGGCCTGCCTTGGCTAGATAAGACCCTGTTTCAAATAAATAAGTAAAAATAAAACATTGGGGGCAAAATTTCCGTGACTTTACCTGTGCTGGTATCAGGAGTCTGGAGTCCAGAGGGATCAGAAGTTCAAGGTCATTCTTGTTTGCAGTTGGGGGGTAGCCTGGGGCTACATTAGACACTAACTATATCAAACGAACAAGCAAACAAACAAAAACCATAGGATGAAATGGGGTTACATTTTTCTTCATTTTCTGCAATGCTAAGGATGGAGCCACGGGCCTGGCACAGCTAGGCTAGTGTTCTCATACTGAGCAGCACAACCCGGTGCGGCAGTGGACACTTTTCTAATCCCCCTTCCCAAGTAGGCAAAGGAAGATGGATCTTCGAGTTTCAGGCCAGACTGAGTCGCACAGTGAGACTCTTGTCTCAAATAAAATAAAATATTAACAAGACCAGAACTTTATTTGGCTCTCTTTGCCACAGGGAACTTGCCAGTCTGTCCTCTCGTCCATCCCAGTCTGTGCACAGTAGCCAGAGCTGGGAAATTCTCAGCTCCCTCTCATCCTCTTCTATTTGTTTATTTACATTTATTTAGTGTTGGTGTTCAGGGGTCAAAGGACAATTTGTGGGAGTCAGTTCTCTTCTACTGTTTCATGGGTCTCAGGAATCAAATTCAGGCCCTTGGGCTTGGCAGGAGGCATCAGTTGAACCACCTCAATGGCTGCCAACTCTTCTTGCTCCAGATTCTCTTAAATACCCCTTCTGGTCGTGGTGGCTCAGGACTTTAACCCAAACATTTGAGAGGCGGAGGTAGGAAGACATCTATGAGTTTAAGGCTACCCTGGTCTATTCAGTAAAATCCTGTCTTACAACTAGCCAAGCAATAAATAAAACCCTTTTGATCATTTCCTTGTGTACAGAAATGACACCCTGTTGTGACTGGCTAAAATAGGCACTGTCAGGGTGCTTTTTCCTAGCCCTGATCCTGGTCCTGGCCTCTTTGTCTCTCTGCACATCTTGCTTCCTTTTGCCAAGCAAGGTCTGGCCCATGCCAGAAAGACACAGAAGTTCCACTTTGCAAAAGTTGTGCTCATTTCTGTGAGTAAAGGGACTGAGGGCCATTTACTAAGTTAGACCTGTAGAAATCATTCTTTTTTGTTTGTTTGTTTTTGTTTTTTGAGACAGGGTTTCTCTGTATCTTTTTGGAGCCTGTCCTGGAACTAGCTCTTGTAGACCAGGCTGGCCTCGAACTCACAGAGTTTGAGTTCTGCTTGTGTCTGCCTCCTGAGTGCTGGGATTAAAGGTGTGTGCCACCACTGCCTGGCTAGAAATCATTCTTAACCCAGGTCAGAGAATTAACCTGCCAGTTCAGTGAGCTGATGCTATAGAGTTGATGTCTATTTATGCAAAACAGGTTCAAAACTGGACAGAAAAAAGAATCTGTCTGGTGTGGTCACAGGTCCACTTGTTAATGGAGGACAAGGGTCAACAGCACGGTGGAGAGCAGCAGCTGAGTCTGGGTCCCTAGGAGATGACAGGAAACTTGGATGTGGGAAGTGTTCTCTTCGTGGGCAGATCATGGTCGACTTTCCATGCTTGGATGCCTTTCTCAGCAGTAGGAGGGGACATGAAGGACTGGAGGCAAGAGGAGGACACGACCCAGTGAGGACTGGGGGTGAGGAAGAGGAGTCAGTGTCTTGGGTGTATCCCCAGCACCAAAGGGGAGAAGCTAAAAGATGTGTCCTCAGTTTTTTTCCCAGGACATTTCTCAGGGCTTTGGTGGGGGATTCAGTTGCTAACACAAGATCGGTGTTTTCAGCTTTGTTTGAAACAAGGGCTTAGTTTCTCTCTCTCCTTATCAGTCTGACCTGGAACTCACTATGTGACTCAGGCTGGTCTTGAACTCCCAGCAATCCTGCCTCAGCCTCCTAAATGTACCAAGTTTATGTGTTATTTCTACCCCTCCCCTTCTCCTTCATTTGAAGCAGGATCTCACATTGTAGGCCTGGAACTCATCTGTAGCCCAAGATGACCTTAAACTCTCAGTAACCCTTCCTCGGCCTCCCAAGAGCCAGGCTTATAGGCACTAGCCATCTTTAATCAATGTCCTTGGCGCCTGCCTCTTATTATCTTAGCACTCTGAAGACTAGAGCAGAAGGATATCTATCAAGTCTCAAATTTGAGTCTATAAAGGACGATAGACAGAGATCCTATCTGCACCACCACCCCCCAATAGAGAAGGAAAGAAAGAGAAAAAGATAAAGCCGTCTGTAGGTCCAGCAGAGGCAGAACATCCTACGTGCTGGCCTACCGTCATAACTGTAGCTCTCACTGTTCATGAAAGAAGTTTCTTTTTCCAACAGAAAGAGACTATTACAGAGCTCCACAACTTTCCAGAGTGCAGAGGCTAGTGTCAGTGGGGTGCCCAATCCCACCTGACACATCTCCAACACAACCCCTACCCCTAAGGATCAGGGAACGTTGTGTAGGGGAGGGGTTGTAAAGATGGGAAGAGCCAGAAGGCCAGGCAGCTGCTGTGCAGTCAGATCTGCACCCTTCCACTTCCAACAGTACTGTCGCCTGGACAGAACCAGCAAAATGACACGAACTGACGTGCCGACGTGGTGTGTGGAGATTCCACAAGTCCCTGATCCCTAGATGGAGAACTGTGGGTGGCTACTGGCTGTGCAAAGAGGGAGTCAGTTTCCTCCAGGGATGAACTCCCATGGAGACTGTTCAAGCCCATTGGTCAGCCCTGGGAACGTGCGCATAGTGGCAAAGGAAGTTCAGTAGGCTGTGACTGTGTGGACACATGGAACAGATGGGCAGGCTAAAGATTTCTCCTGCGCTGGGAGAGACCGACAGTTTCCCTCCCGTTCTCCCTTTTTTAGACTTTTAAATTTTATGTGTGTGAGTGTTTTGCCTTCATGTATGCTTGTGAACCTTGTTTGTTCTCTGGTGCCCAGAGATCAGAAGATGATGTCAGCTCCCTGAAACTGGAGTTACAGATAACCATCTGTAACTGTGGGCACTGGGAATCAAACCTGGGTCCTCTGCAAGAGCAACAGGTGCTCTTAACCTCAGAGCCATTGCTCCATCCCGAAATTTCCCTGCTATAGGGCGGCATGAAAGTAAGCCAAGAGGGGTCTCAGCTCTGTTTTTAAACATTTACTTATTTATTGTGTGTGCGTGCATGTGTTTGTGTGTGTGTGTGTGTGTGTGTGTGTGTGGGTGCATGTCCATGCCCCAGTGTCAGGGTGCATGTGTGGAGGTCAGAGGGCAACCTGCAGGAGTCGGGTCTCTCCCTTTACCACGTGGGTTCTGGGGGCTGAACTCAGGTCACCAGGCTTAGCAGCAAACATCTCCACCCACTGAGCCGGCTCTCCAGCCCCTCCCCAGTCAGAGTTCTCAGTCTTCATTTCCCACCGAAGTCCCTTCTCTATTAAGATGATTTGTTTGCTTGCACAGGGTTCTCAGCCTGTGGTCTAAGGGCCACTGGGATCCTGGAGATTTCTTCAGGGGGGTCTGTGAGGCCCTCCCTTTCCCAACTTTATATCCATGTGAGGACAGATTGTGTTCATATAATTCAACCAGAATGTCATGTGCAATTAGAGCCAATGCAGATATGAGAACCCAGCTGTCTTTGATTAAGTGCAGCACCAAGATTTACAGAACCGCAAAATGATCCCAGTCTCCCAGTCTTCTCGAGGTTTTTTTTTTTTTTTTTTGAACGCATAAGCTGGACATATTAATACATGCTGGTGGCGCATGAGAGGTGGAAGCAGAGGATTGGAAATTTTAGGCTAGCCTCAGCTACACAGTGAGTTTGAGGCCAGCAGGCCTACATGAGACTGTGTCTCAAAAAACTCAAAAAAGAATTTTCCAAAAGCCCAAAGCAAGATGTATTTAGATCTACATGAGTCCTGATTCATCAAGTAAAGGTTCTGGTTAAGCTAGCATAGTAGCTTCCAGCAGTGATGCAAAGGTAGACAGGGAGAGCAACCCTCAGGAAGGTATGCTCTGAGGCCTGGCTGGTGACTCACGCCTTTAATCCCAGCTCTCAGGGGGCAGAGGTAGGTGGATCTCTGTGAGTTTGAGGCCAACCTGGTCTACAAAAGCTAGTTCCAGGAAAGGTTCCAAAGTTACAGGGAAAGCCTGTCTCGAAAAACAAACAAGCAAAAAAGCTGGACGGTGGTGGCTCATGCCTTTTGGAGCTTGTGAGTTTGAGGCCAGCCTGGTCTACAAGAGCTAGTTCCAGGACAAACTCCAAAGCTACAGAAAAATCCTATCTCGAAAAACCAAAACAGACAAACAAACAAACAAAATTAAAAAAAAACCCAAAAAACCAAAGTTGTCCTCTGACACCCATCCACACATGCTATGCACACATTCATAATAGAAATAAATAAATGAAATCAATATGATATGAATATATTGTTTGTTTGCTTTGTTTTTGAGACAGGGTTTCTCTATATACCCATGGCTGTCCTAGAATGTTATAGTGATAAAACTGGCCTCAAACTCATACAAATTGTTTTTAGATGGGGAGGGCAGTGTTTCTCTGTGTAACAACTCTGTCTGTGTGGAACTTGCTCCAAAGACCAGGGTGGCCATAAATTCACAGAAATCCCCCTGCCTCTGTGATCGATAGCACGGCAGAAAGAGATTGGGCAAGACAGCCTGATACAGGGAGAATGCTGCAAGAGAAGGGCGGAGTCAGAGAGAAGGGTGGAGTCAGAGTCCAGGAAGAACGATATGCTGAGAACAGGTAAAACCATGAGCCACATGGCAATGCATGGATGAATAGAAAT